AAACAACAGTCTCTGTGGAATACGACCTTGCTCGCCGCTTTCTGCAGCTACTCCGTGCACTTGCGGGTAGTGGAAATATTTTGCGAACACACGTCGCACCTTACAAGCACACAAAAAAAAAATACGTTTATCCGAATAATCGAATAAATGATCGATTAATACTAGTTGGTTAAATATCGGATTTTTAGTCTTTTTTAAATAAACTAAATAACTGAACATACCGAACTATATGGAAATTATTACCATTTTTTATGTATATATTTGTTTATGAGTAATAATATTATTTTTTATCTATATTTTTTGTATGAGTCGCAAGTGCACATTATAGTTATACGAGTTGCACATAAATGTCTACCAGATTGCACAAAATCGAACGAGATCCAATGAACATGAATTCAGTACGAAACTTTATATTTTGTTTTTTTTTTTGGCCGAAACGACAGAGGTACTATTATAAATCAAAAGAACACAAATGTGCGAATAAAAATACAAAGCTCCCAACGGGAGAAAAAATGGGAGGACAGGTCAGAAGCCCGCCTAGAATCCCGCTAGCAACGCTAGAATAAAAACACTCACAACTAAACTAACCAACAACACAAACCACTACAACAACTACACAGACCCCAACAGGGTAATACCCGAGTATCGGACCCCAACAGGGTAATCAATTTGACACTCGGGCTCACAGGGGTCAAAGACCCAAATTATATTTTGTTTTGATTATTATTATTATTATTATTATTATTATTATTATTATTATTATTATTATTATTATTATTATTATTATTATATATCGAGTATTTCGGTAAAATATAATTTTTTTTGAAGTAAATAACCAAAATAAGAACCAAACTATATTAAAAATATTATTATATATATTTTTGTATAAAAATATTAAGCTATTATTTTATATTGAAATATAAAAAAAATTAATATAGTTTATTATTGTGTATGTATTAAACTTTTATTATATTATCACTTCTAATGTACTCAATTGAAAAATTGTAAAAAATAAAAAAATTACAATTAGACCCCTATAATAAATCAAATTCTCAAGCAAATGACCCAAAAATCTCAAACAACACAAATGATAAACACAATATACATCCTGCCAGAATCACAGTTAATATTGGCGGCCTGCGTCCGCCTGATACTTCGCCGCCGACATTCACCGGCGACTTGTCCGGCGAGCTGCCAAGGGG